TTTACGAAAACACGAAGCAGATACGCAGCATAGAAAACATGGGGAAAGTTGTTTACAGCATGACTGGTTTTGGTATGACTGCGAGCAGGTTTCTGAATATATAACGAATCGCAAAGAAAGTGTGCATTAAGCGAGGCACCTACAGGCTATTTTGAAAATTGCCATAGGCTTGGAATAAAGTAAAAACAAATTGGCACCATTACTGGGATCACGCCCATGAAGGTTTAATATGTCTGAAATCTAATCAACTGAATTAATATGTATGAAAGCGTATAAACACAGCCTCCAGTTTGAGCATGCACCTCCTAAGTTCTGACATTCCACTGGCAAAGCGTGCATGAAACCTTGTAGTTTTCTTTGAACCCAAGCTCTCTTTATCTTCCCATACATCTCAACTCTGCAGGACATCATACCTCTATCTGTGCAACATCTCCCACATCCACCATGCCGTTACCTTAGCAACCACTGAGAACCTCATCCGCGCCTTAATCATATCCCAACTCGACGATTGAAACTCTCTCCTCTACTGCCTTTATCAAATCGCTCACCTGCAAATTTCAGATGGATCCAAATACCACTGCCAGGAATTTCACTCATACGTTGCCCACACCTCAGATTAGCACGGTTCACTATGTACAGTGCAAAAGAAGTTCAACATACATATCTATCTATAAAAAAGTAAGAATAGGTCTTACCCTTGATGGCAATTTACATACAAATATCTCTACAGTGAGGGAAAAAAGTATTTGATCCCCTGCTGATTTTGTACGTTTGCCCACTGACAAAGAAATTATAAGTCTATAATTTTAATGGTAGGTTTATTTGAACAGTGAGAGACAGAATAACAACAACAAAATCCAGAAAAACGCATGTCAAAAATGTTATAAATTAATTTGCATTTTAATGAGGGAAATAAGTATTTGACCCCTCTGCAAAACATGACTTAGTACTTGGTGGCAAAACCCTTGTTGGCAATCACAGAGGTCAGACGTTTCTTGTAGTTGGCCACCAGGTTTTCACACATCTCAGAAGGGATTTTGTCCCACTCTTCTTTGCAGATCTTCTCCAAGTCATTAAGGTTTCGAGGCTGACGTTTGGCAACTCGAAACTTCAACTCCCTCCACAGATTTTCTATGGGATTAAGGTCTGGAGACTGGCTAGGCCACTCCAGGACCTTAATGTGCTTCTCCTTGAGCCACTCCTTTGTTGCCTTGGCCGTGTGTTTTAGGTCATTGTCATGCTGGAATACCCATCCATGACCCATTTTCAATGCCCTGGCTGAGGGAAGGAGGTTCTCACCCAAGATTTGACGGTACATGGCCCCGTCCATCGTCCCTTTGATGCGGTGAAGTTGTCCTGTCCCCTTATCAGAAAAACACCCACAAAGCATAATGTTTCCACCTTCATGTTTAACGGTGGGGATGGTGTTCTTGGGGTCATAGGCAGCATTCCTCCTCCTCCTCCTCCAAACACGGCGACTTGAGTTGATGCCAAAGAGCTCCATTTTGGTCTCATCTGACCACAACACTTTCACCCAGTTGTCCTCTGAATTATTCAGATGTTCATTGGCAAACTTCAGACGGGCATGTATATGTGCTTTCTTGAGCAGGGGGACCTTGTGGGCGCTGCAGGATTTCAGTCCTTCACGGCGTAGTGTGTTACCAATTGTTTTCTTGGTGACTATGGTCCCAGCTGCCTTGAGATCATTGACAATATCCTCCCGTGTAGTTCTGGGCTGATTCCTCACCGTTCTCATGATCATTGCAACTCCACGAGGTGAGATCTTGCATGGAGCCCCAGGCCGAGGGAGATTGACAGTTCTTTTGTGTTTCTTCCATTTGCGAATAATCGCACCAACTGTTGTCACCTTCTCACCAGGCTGCTTGGCAATGGTCTTGTAGCCCATTCCAGCCTTGTGTAGGTCTACAATCTTGTCCCTGACATCCTTGGAGAGCTCTTTGGTCTTGGCCATGGTGGAGAGTTTGGAATCTGATTGATTGATTGCTTCTGTGGACAGGTGTCTTTTATACAGGTAACGAGCTGAGGTTAGGAGCACACTCTTCAAGGGAGTGCTCCTAATCTTAGCTTGTTACCTATATAAAAGACACCTGTCCACAGAAGCTGAGATTAGGAGCACTCCCTTGAAGAGTGTGCTCCTAACCTCAGCTCGTTACCTGTATAAAAGACACCTGGGAGCCAGAAATCTTTCTGATTGAGAGGGGGTCAAATACTTATTTCCCTCATTAAAATGCAAATCAATTTATAACATTTTTGACATGCGTTTTCTGGATTTTGTTCTTGTTATTCTGTCTCTCACTGTCCAAATAAACCTATCATTAAAATTATAGACTGATCATTTCTTTGTCAGTGGGCAAACGTACAAAATCAGCAGGGGATCAAATACTACTTTCCCTCACTGTACAAGCAAATTCCACTGGCAAAGCGTGCATGAAACCTTGTGGCTTTACCGAAAGACCCAAAGAATAAAAAAATACATTTAATTGGCTCATCATCAAGGCCTCCAATTCAGGTAACACCACAGGGGTGGACATTTGTCTTCGTGCCTTCTGACACTTTTGTTCGCTCCAGGGATGTTCCCACGAGCTACGGAAGCCATGGAGATGGTTTGCAATATTTGGTCAAATCGATGTTAGGCTGACAGCACTGTCTCATGGGCAAATTCGGTCCACATTCGTACATCTCCATGCCCAAACTTAATATACATCAGGAAAATGGAACACTGGACCCAGTGCAGTTATATATTGTGTGTATTCAGCAGCAAATTCAACCTCTAACCATAAAAAGCCAAGACATTAATCGTAAACAGAAGTGAAAATGCCAATGCTGGTATCGGTGATTGGCAAAGTATTTTGTATGTTAGAAAAGTGAGGACAACAAAAGGTTAACCCTGGGATAGATTTCACCACACTCATGAATATATTTTCGAAAAAGTATGGTCACTGTTATACTTGGTGACAAAATAATTGTAATACCATTCTAATGACACAATACATGCTTATATTGGCTAAGCACACTTTTAATTCTGCACCAATATAATAATACAAAAAACATTCAATTGTATTCAAAAGGAAACATTCGTCCCTGCTGTTTACGGAACAACAATTTGGCAAATGTTTATATAGCAGCCTTCACGACCTGGAGGTTATACTGTATGCAGGTGATACCCACAGCGAAATGTGCAATAAACATAATCGCAGCATGTCAGCACGCGCTTGCCTGTGACCTTTTTTCGTAAAACATCACGTGTTTATTGCACACATCGTGTACTCGGCATTGCATTGAACCAAACACAAGATCATATGAGTGCATTGAAAGGCTTAAGTGTAGTCATGATCAAACACGTGGCTGAATGTATGGCATTAGCACACATCACCGCCATCCACGCACACCCTGGCTGCAATCCATACAGCAATCTACTGCCACCTTGGATTGGTTGAAGAATCTTAACATTAAACGATGACATCTATTTCAAACTGTTGCTACCCCCCACCCCCCAATGCCATACGAAAGAAGCACACCAGTGAAGAGGGTAAATGAAATCTTTGCAAATATTCCACGGTATACCGTTATATAAACAGTTTCTTATTTTATCCACACTGCTGTGGGGATAAGACTATTTTAAAATGTATATACAAGAAACTGATGTTAGACACGACGGTGGGTTAAACATTTGCATACAGAGTACGTATGTTGGGTTTAACAAGGAAGGACAGGGTGAGAAATGAAGAATCGAAAGGAAGACTCAAGGTGGTAGAAATCTCAGATGAGATGAGAGAGAGAAAAAGGCTCTGGTGGTGGCTCGGTCATGTTGTGAGACGACAGGAAAATTATGTGGGTCAGAAGATGCAAGTGATGCAAGTGGAAGGAAAGAGATCAAGAGGAAGGCAGAAAAGGTGGGGGTGGGGGGGGTGATGTGGTGCGATCGGACATGGTGGACCAAGGAGCGCAAATGGAGATGGCACAGGACAGGGCAGCGTGGAGAAGGTTGGCAAGGATAGCAGACCCCACATGAGTAGGACAAACACGTGGAAGAAGAAGAAGAATACGTTAAGAATGCACAATCAAGTCACCGTGCTCTTACCGCAACCTCTCTTTGTCAGAGACTTGTGATTGACTGAACCATACTTTTGAGTTTGCAAAACAAGGCAGCTTTGATTGTCAAGATTGCTGTTGTAATCAGAGCCCCACACCAGACCGTGACTGGCAGGCAAGGTATTGTGATGAGCACACCTTATATACCGAGGCATCACCCAACTTGTAACACTGATGAAGCCTGGGCTAATTGATCCCATTTCTGAATTACAATGCTAATATTACACTATAAAAACTATATAAATAAAAATTAGTTGACCAGGTAAGGCCCACTGAGCTATATAGCTCTTTTTCAGAAGCAACCTATCCACAATTGATAGCTCAACGAAGTGTCTTATTACGTGCAAATTTACTGCAGCCGAATACTATAAACACATGATTCTAAATACTATAAACACATGATTCTAAATGTGTAGGGAAAACCCGGAGGACCCTGAGACAAATTCACACAACCACGGGGAGAACATGCAAACTCCAAATATACAGGCGCCAGGGTCCGAATCGAACCTACGTCCTCTCGCATACGAGGCGAGGTAGTTAACATCTCTCCACCGTGGTACATATAAAGTTACAGAAATGATGGAACGGTTTTCAATCCATTTGGCTCATCCATTCATGTGCAACTGATGGAACGTTCAAAAATGAAACTTGGACAAATACCTGTTCTTCAATATACTTCACTTGCATGCAAACAATTTGTCAAAAGTATTTGTACACAGTTGTTGAATGTGGCAGTGGCATTGCACTCTGCAGAACTTGCAAGCAGTCGACCGCTTGGTTTATATTTAATGTGCACGTATATACGCATGCAGGCGCACACACACACGCGCGTTTTTGTGCAACATCACAGACGAGATGCGCTCTGTGTACAGGTAGCCGGCACTCACCTGGCTCTCCTTGTCGTTGTGCTTTGCGGAAGCGACTATTTCCCGTGCAGGAATGACGGATATCTGATGGAGAGGCATCGCGTACGAGTCGCTTTCGGCTCACAGCGAGACGAATGACTCTCGGCGAGGTAAAACAACCATCGCTCAAAAACAGCCTCCTCCTCCTCCTGCTCCTCCTGCTGCTCCTCCTGCTGCTCCTCCTGCTGCTGCTCCTCCTGCTGCTGCTCCTCCTGCTGCTGCGAGACGCTGCTCCACACTCCGATTGCCCGCGCGTAGGTCGGTCAGTCGGTCACGTACGTGGAGACACACCTTCACGCACAAAGGCTGCAGCAAAACCTAGGCAGGTCCCCCCCCACCACCACCCCATTCACGTTGCATTCTTTTGTCATGAATAATAATTAGCGTTCCCGGTCGCGATGTGCAGCTACCCGCAGAGCGATGCCTTTTTCCCTGTTGTTGTCCTCTCTTTGTTCCACAGTGGGATTCAAAACGGCACAAAATGCTAACCAGCGTCCCTCCCCTTTCCCTCGCTCTCTCTCTCTCCCAGTTCCTCGTCAAGGGGAACGATTCGCACTTGAATTAATTTCCACGGCTTCTTCGCTCGTAAAAAAAAAACTATGGACGTCGGGACGCGTGTTTATCCCGCATCTCCCGTGGCGCGGCGCGGCGCTTCGGGTGCGCGCGGGGCGGCGGTGGCCGCTGGGGCGTTCCGTGTCCTGCGAGGATTCAGCGCTGGTCGCTGGTCGCGTTCCGCCGGCTCGTGGAGCCGCTCTGCCGCCGCGCGTGTCTGTGCTCAGCTCTCTGCATGGAGAGAAAGATAGGGGGGGGGGGGAAACTCCATGCGAAATCACGCAACAGAGAAGAAACACTTTGCTGAGAAATAAAAAACGGATGCGGTAACACTTTTGAAGGCTCTTAACTGCTTCTCTCTCTCCCCCCCCCCCCCCCCCCCACTCTGTATTTTAACATCGTGCATAATGTAAAGGGCATTTTTTTTTAAACGTGGGTCCAGATATTTATCAGCTCATTAATGAGGTTGTCCTCAATCTCTGCAGTGTATTTATTTAGAAAGAGCTGTCTTTGATGTAATACACAATGGAAAATGTTATTGGCAAAAAAAACCCAAAACAAACTAAAACGATAAGCTGACTGTTATGGAGGTGTATGATAATTCCAGAGGATAAGTATAACAGTGATGATGCGCATAGAGATCTTGAGACTCATACACCATGTGTATAGGCTGCCTTCTTAAAAATCAATTACGTAAGAGGTTGCATTTCCACTTAAATATCCAGTTTATTACATTGTTCATCAGCTAAAAAGCCACAAAAAACCACACATTTAGTTGGTACTTAGGGCGTACCTTCCCAATTGCTGGAAAGTCATCAATGGTTTCATCTGGAAAGCTGGCAGAAACTCTGAATAACAATAATTAACTACCTTGTTTACAGCCGCTCTTAGGCTCTGCCCAAAACAGGTCTGTGGTGTGAGCGCTACAGTCTGCCAGACTGTGCGTCACTCTGAGCAGGTGATGCCTTTAATTGGACCTGCACGGAATTAACCCCGAAGCAAGACATTCTGCTGAATACAACGATTTGCGTCCCATCATAAACATTTATTTTTCTTGCAGGAGTGTTGTGACATCCAGACGTGAAATGAGAACACAGTGCCCTGTAGACGCATGTGAGAATTATTACGTGCAATTAAAAAAAATGGTTGGTAATTGTCCAAATGTACAATACTGATGGCAGCGGATTTATTTATGAATATAAATGTATGGTGCGTGATAGCGGAGGGAACTCCAGATACAAAGCGGGCACAGCATGTTAGGCTCTTGTGCCATGCTCTTTGGCTCTGGCTTCACACACCGGCAAAGCTGGCTGGGCCAAACACTCTGCACACACGCGTTCTTCATCTTGCCCCAGTCCTGGGTGCACCATGCCACGACAGGCTGTGGTAACTAAAGCAACAGCCATGCCAATTGTTACATATATGTATAAGCTGTTTATGTATGATGGCATATAAAGACAAAGATTACCCTATATCCTTAGCAAACTGTTGGGGCAAGTCCTGTTAGCGAGCACCTATGAAGGCTGACACGGCACACGAGGGGGTGGGTCGCTGGCTCCACGACCAGCCGCTTTTGTCTCCCTAGCGGTGATGCTAACATACTGCACCAGGTACTCATTTGAGGCCGAGTCGACCTAGGAGAGGCCCAGGACCGGTTCAGATAATTGTCACTTCTTGTTGGCCATGAGCAGGAATCAAACTCGGGTAGCCGAGTTCGTAGGGCAGCGCGCTAACCACTACACTACTGCTCCATCCTATGATTGTGTGTATGTATGTATATATACATACAGCTGTATATACGCTCTGGGTGTACCATCGGATTTAATTGCATGATCCCCAGACCCATCAAATATGCTGGTTCAGGAGATTGGCTTAACAATGCCACAATTGGAATTGATCGGAATAAAAATCGGATTCTAACATAGTCATCGCATCGGATTATGTCCTTTCTATTAAAAAAGTGATATTGATTTTTCTCTCAGGGATACAGTGAACGTATTAGAAAATTAATTTAACTGCGGTAATTTCAATATTAAAACCTTTTTAATCACACTATGCATATAAAACAAATGGCTCATGATTATCATTAGAATTAAATTGTTGAAAAGTAGAAAGCTAAATATAAAAACTGCAGTACTAAAACAGTTAAAATAGAAGAGCAAACGGGACTTTACCTTGCCCTGGCTTGCAGAACACCGAGAAGCCAAATGGTTAAATGTGACGCTAACCATGCAATGGCGCATCCTACTCACGATACATTGATTTTGCACAATTTAGGATCACCAATCAATTCAATAATCTATTATTCTTGCCTCATGTTTACCATCTTATTAAATCTAGTCTTATTCTTCTTATCTCTCACTATTTTCATGAGCCTTCGTGCAACATACAGGACTAGAATTTATCATATATATAGAACTGTATATAATTCTAAGACGCTCGATTATATGCATGCATAATTCAACTAACTAATTCATTATCGATTTAAAGCTTTCGTGACTGCAGGGATTCATATTCTTGGTTCTTTCAGTAAAGCCACGTAGAAGGGAAACAATAAAATGATAAAAATATAAAACAATAAAATTCTCACGACGTTTCGACTGCAACACAAGCAATCATCATCAGGTGTGAAAACCACAACAATAAACTTTTTCAAATTTTCTTGTTGTGGTTTTCACCCCTGATGATGATTGCTTGTGTTACAGTCGAAACTTCGTGAGAATTTTATTGTTTTATATTTGTATTATTTTATTGTTTCCCTTCTACGTGACTTTACCGAAGAACCAATAATATAATTAATTATCGTGAACGAGTCAAGCCAAGCCTATTGCCAGGCAAGTATCATGGGAGCTGCATGTATTGTGGTTTATTAGCCGGGAATGTGCAGTACTTTCAAGGAAATATGTTTCTCTTCAATTGTTTGAAAATGTATAATTACATTTTTAATGGGACACTTTATTAAATGTCTGTTTGGAGTTGTATATTGTTTTTGTAGTTAATTATCGGCTTGAATTAGTTCATTTTTATTTGTATTCAATCAGATCCGAACCATGCCGGATTCGATCTTGTGACCAATTCTCATATATTGCATGGAATCATGAACCAGAATGGCTTCAAACAGAGTTGAATATTACAAATTTGATCTGAGGCCATGTTGTATAAAAAAAACATAAAAACCAAAACTGGTTGCTTTTAAAAAATGCATCAATGCGGAGGTGGTGAGGTGGTGGCTCAGAGGTCATGGTACAGAACTGACACTGCTGGATCGAGGCACCTGCCTGTGATTACACCGGGATTCTCCAGTGTAGTGAGCCAGTGGTCCCAGCCTAGTCACCAATGACTGCACACACAAAAAAAACCATCACAGAAATTTGTTATAGTTTTTCACCAAATTTTAGCTGAAATTTCAGCTCCGATGAACACATATGCCATCATCTGACCAACTGTGCATACAGTGAGGGAAAAAAGTATTTGATCCCCTGCTGATTTTGTATGTTTGCCCACTGACAAAAAATGGTAGGTTTATTTGAATAGTGAGAGACAGAATAACAACAACAAAATCCAGAAAAACTCATGTCAAAAATGTTATAAATTCATTTGCATTTTAATGAGTGAAATAAGTATTTGACCCCCTCTCAATCAGAAAGATTTCTGGCTCCCAGGTGTCTTTTATACAGGTAACGAGCTGAGTTTAGGAGCACAGTCTTAAAGGGAGTGCTCCTAATCTCAGCTTGTTACCTGTATAAAAGACACCTGTCCACAGAAGCAATCAATCAATCAGATTCCAAACTCTCCACCATGGCCAAGACCAAAGAGCTCTCTAAGGATGTCAGGGACAAGATTGTAGACCTACACAAGGCTGGAATGGGCTACAAGACCATTGCCAAGCAGCTTGGTGAGAAGGTGACAACAGTTGGTGTGATTATTCGCAAATGGAAGAAACACAAAAGAACTGTCAATCTCCCTCGGCCTAGGGCTCCATGCAAGATCTCACCTCGTGGAGTTGCAATGATCATGAGAACGGTGAGAAATCAGCCCAGAACTACACGGGAGGTTCTTGTCAATGATCTCAAGGCAGCTGGGCCCATAGTCACCAAGAAAACAATTGGTAACACACTACGCCGTGAAGGACTGAAATCCTGCAGCGCCCACAAGGTCCCCCTGCTCAAGAAAGCACATATACATGCCCGTCTGAAGTTTGCCCATGAACATCTGAATGATTCAGAGGACAACTGGGTGAAAGTGTTGTGGTCAGATGAGACCAAAATTGAGTTCTTTGGCATCAACTCAACTCGCCATGTTTGGAGGAGGAGGAATGCTGCCTATGACCCCAAGAACACCATCCCCACCGTCAAACATGGAGGTGGAAACATTATGCTTTGGGGGTGTTTTTCTGCTAAGGGGACAGGACAACTTCACCGCATCAAAAGGACGATGGACGGGGCCATGTACCGTCAAATCTTGGGTGAGAACCTCCTTTCCTCATCCATGGAATTGAAATTGGGTCGTGGATGGGTATTCCAGCATGACAATGACCCAAAACACACGGCCAAGGCAACAAAGGAGTGGCTCAAGAAGAAGCACATTAAGGTCCTGGAGTGGCCTAGCCGGTCTCCAATCCCATAGAAAATCTGTGGAGGAAGCTGAAGGTTCGAGTTGCCAAACGTCAGCCTCGAAACCTTAATGACTTGGAGAAGATCTGCAAAGAGGAGTGGGACAAAATCCCTCCTGAGATGTGTGCAAACCTGGTGGCCAACTACAAGAAACTTCTAACCTCTGTGATTGCTAACAAGGGTTTTGCCACCAAGTACTAAGTCATGTTTTGCAGAGGGGTCAAATACTTATTTCCCTCATTATAATGCAAATCAATTCATAACATTTTTGACATGCGTTTTTCTGGATTTTTGTTGTTTTTATTCTGTCTCTCACTGTTCAAATAAACCTACCATAAAAATTATAGACTGATCATTTCTTTGTCAGTGGGCAAACGTACAAAATCAGCAGGGGATCAGATACTTTTTTCCCTCACTGTATGTACAGTGCTGGCCTCTATTGTATGTGCCAGAGCTCACTTGGAGGTATCTCAGAGGTAGCTCTGTGATATCCACGTATGTGGGCCATCCTCTAACTTGACGGGTTGCATTGTTTCGCTGAAGATCTAAATTGGTGATTCTCATGACATGACACTGATCGGAATAAAATTGGGGAAAAGGATAAAAATATGCTTTCAT